GTAGTGCACCCTAGACAACCTGAAACCTTCCTGCTACAAAGCATTTTGAAAAGATGGATCAAATTGAATAAATATCCCCTTGAATGCATGTATGATGAGCTTGTGGTGGAAGCTGACCTTCATGTGTCCAAACGACAACAATAAAAGCTGAACAAACAAAGGGGAAACTGAAGATCAGATCAATGAGTATTTGAATTTAGGTTAGGAAGGTAGAGGAATGGATTTCATAACCTTCAGGAAGAGGAGAAAAGCTGTCGTGCCTCAAAACAAGGCCTAAATAGTCAATGAAAAGTATGCACTAGGGGAAATAAAGTCCTGGGTGGGAGGGGGTATGTGTGGAGGACAGAGGGTGCTAGGTGGGAGGGGTGAATGGAGGGCAGGGGTGCTGAGTGGGAGGGGTATGTGGAAGGCAGGGGTATGCTGGGTAAGGAGGTGCATGTAGAGGGCCAGAGAGTCCTGGGTGGCAAGTGCTGGCCATGGGTACATATGATGCCTATGTTGGCTCTCTGCAAGTCGGGGCCTGCCTGGCGAAGTCCAAGACTGGTGGTGTCCATAGGGTTGCAGCTGGAGATCTGAAATGATGCGGTAGTGGCAGGGACAGTGGCAGTGGAAGCATGATGGGGAGTGGGAGGGACGATGCTCAATATGGTGACTATAGGAGTATAGTTCAAAAGAATTAGAAGTGGGGCTGGTGCTGTGGCGCAGCAGGTTAATGCCCTGGCCTGCAGTATCAGCATTCCATATGGGCGCCAGTTCGAGACCCAGCTGCTCCACTTCCGATCCAGCTCTCTGCTATGGCCTGGGAAAGGAGTAAAAGATGGCCCAAATCCTTGGGCTCCTGTACCAGCATGGAAGACCTGGAAGAAGCTCCTGGCTCCTGGCTTTGGATCGGCGCATTTCTGGCTATTGCGGCCAACTGGGGAGTGAACCATCGGATGGAAGACTTCTTTCTCTATCTCTCTGCCTCTTCTCTCTGTGTAACTCTTTCAAATAAATAAATAAATCTTTTAAAAAAGAATTAGAAGGATTTAGAATATTCTCAACACATCTGAGGGAACTGATATGCTTATCCCAGTTTGAGCATTACATATGTTTACATGTCAAAATATCCATAGTATCCTATAAGTATCTGCAAAATTATTGATTAAAAATAATCTTCAAAGAATCACACTGTATCCATAAAGATATATATATGATTATTACACATCTATTTTTAAAAGAAACCTATGGATTGTTTTATATTTATATTGTGCCTAGACAGTTCTGAACTTTTTTTAAAGGTTTATTTACTTATTTGAAATTCAGAGTTACACAGAGAGAGTGTGTGAGAGAGAGAGAGAGAAAGAGAGAGGGAGGGAGGGAGGGAAGGAGAGGTCTTCCATCTGCTGGTTCACTCCCCAAATGGCTGCATCCGCCACAGCTGAGCTAATCCAAAGCCAGGAGCCAGGAGTTTCTGCGTTCCCCAAACGGGTTCAGGGGCCCAAGGACTTGGGCCATCTTCCACTGCTTTCCCAGACCACAGCGGAGAGCTGGATCAGAAGTGGAGCAGCCAGGACTTGAACTGAGATGCTGGCACTGCCGGCAGCGGTTTTACCTGTTACACCATAACGCCAGCCCCAGTACTAACCTTTCTTTAACAGATTCTAGTTACTGCATCTAATTTTCGAAATGTAAAATCACAGCATATACAAATAGCTTCAATTGTATCTGCTTATTTCTACCCTATATGCTTATTTTTCTTCCTGTCCAACTGAAGGTATTAACTTTTAGGACAACATTGTTATCATGGTGGTAACAAATAAGCCCATCTTGCTCTTGATTTTCCTAACACATCCATTGTTTCAATGGAAAGCTTCATTTTTTTTCCATAAAACTGTTGCTCTAGTTTAACTTACGCAGCAACCATATATTTAATGATTATAGATAAAATGATCACAAACCATGTGCCTTATTTAGTGACAAATACTTGCCTGTCTTTTCCATTCATCTTCTAACCCTTGGTATTCTCATTTATATAACCTTAATTGCCATAATTGTGTACAGTAGAGCTACATATTTCTTCCCATGCCATATATTTATATTGATGTTCGCAAACATATCCTTCTCTTCACTTTCCCTATTTATCAGAGTTGCCAAGTGCTTGTCTGTTCTACTGGTTGTCTAGGTTCTAAAATCAAACATACTTTTGAAAGAACTGTTTTCTAACTTACAAAGTTCTGCTCAGAATATTTAGAAAACTCAAAAAAAAAAAAAACCTTTACATTCTTCAGGTTTATTTTTGGTGGTTTGTTTCCTAGAATCTTGAATTGAATGTCCAGTTCACTTATTTCCAATATTTGCTTTACAATAAGAATAGAGAGCTTAGCTATTAATCACTCTCTTTAAGTTTATCCCTTTAACTGTTAATTCAGCAACCATTATGTTTTAGGTTCTAATACAGGGTTAGGAAAGCTATGGCACATGGATGTGGCCTGGAGCCTGCTTTTGTATGAATTGTAAAATAAGTAGGGTTGTTGAGTGTTTAAATGGATGCAAAAACATACATGCATACAAAGAAGCCTATATGACAGAGACCATTTGTGACCTGTAAAGACAAACATATTTCTTTTTAAAAGATTTATTTATTTGAAAGGCAGAGGGAGAGAAGCAGAGGGGGGAGAAGGAGGGAGGGAAGAAGGGGAGAAAGAGAGATATCAAGATCTCCCATCCACTGGCGCACTTCCCAAATAGCTACAATGGACAGGGCTGGGCTAAGCCGAAGGTTGTGCAGACCTGAACTCCATTTCATGTGGGTGTCAGGGGCCCAAGCAGTTGGGCCATCTTCTGCTGCTTCCCCAGGCACATTAGCAGGGAGTTGGATTGGAAGCAGAGCAACTGGGACTTAAAACGGCACCATAACACGGGATGCTGGCAACGTAGGCAGTGGCTTAACCTGCTGTGGCACAATGCCAGCCTCAGGACTAACATATTTCAATCTGGACCTTTACATGGAAAAATGTTGTTTATTTAATATTTATTTGTTTATTTTTGGAAAGAGTTAGAGAGAGGGAGAGATCCCACATCCACTGGTTCACTTCCCAAGTGGCTGTATTGGACATGGCTGGGCTAGGCTAAGGCCAGGAGCCCAGAAATCCATCCCATGTGGGCAGCAGGGGCCCAACCACTTGGGCCATCTTCTGCTGCTTCCCCACACACATTAGCAGGGAGCTGGATTGGAAGCAGAGCAACTGGGACTTAAAATGGCACCACAACATGGGATGCTGGCAACGTAGGCAGTGGCTTAACCTACTATGGCACAATACTAGCCTCAAGACCAACATTTCAATCAGGCCCTTTACGGCAAAGAATATTTGTTTAAATATTTTTGAAAATCAGAGTTACGAGACAAGAACAGATCTTCCATCCGTTGTTTCACTCCCCAAATGGCCATAACAGCCAGGGCTGGGCCAGGCTGAAGTCAGAAGCCAGAAGTTTCACCCAGGTCTCCCATGTTGGGGCAGGCTCCCAAGGCTTGGGGCATCTTCTGCTGCTTTCCCAGGCACTTTAGTAGAGAGCTGGATCAGAAGTGGAGCAGCCGGGACTCAAATCAGCACCCAAATGGGATGCGGGCATTGCAGGCGGTGGCTTAGCCCACTATGCCCCAACACCAGCCCCCCAAAATTGTAAACTGTGTCTACTCCACCAGCAGAGCAGGTGCCTAGACAGTTGACATTAACCCTCGGGTGTCAGAACCCTTAGATCCCAGAGCTTGCCTAGTATGTTAATTTCAGCTGTGATCCTCTTCCTCCAGCATTGTGGTTCTCAAAAGTCTTCTCTTTGTCGCATTCATTCACATATAAAATATTCTTTCATAAGCAATATTTCTCAACATAGGAGTATCTCACAATGGGAGGAGGAGAACTCCAACTCCCTTTAAGGATCACTGCTTCACTGCCACCATTGTCAGTAGCTTGCAATATTTTCAATGGTAATTTCGAATTGCTGATGAACATTTAGACAGCAAGGATCTTTGTCCCTGGTTTTCACATTAAAAATCAGACCATTCGGGAGCTGAGAAGTCATTCCGGGTCTCCCACATGAGTGGCAGGAACCCAACTACTCCAGCCATCAGTACCGCTACCTCCTGGGGTTTGCATTGGCAGGAGGCTGGACCAGGAGCCGGAGCCAGGGACGGAACCCAGGTAATCCAATAGGAGATGGATGCAGGTGTCCTACCTAGTGTGCATCTTAAACACTAGGCCAAACGCCCACCCCTGGCATCCATTTTGATATTAAGTGGCATTCCAAGAGAACTCCATCAAATTTGCTGACATCTGGCCTTGGCCCGGCTATCCCTGCTCTTCAGTTTCTGAGGGAGATACACCGATGAGCCAACGGCAAACGGAGAACAAGCAACTTCAGTGTTTTTCTAGAACGACGCTTATACACCCGATACCCGACTCCCCTGGTACAAGTTTTCGGCCGGAGGCCTAATGAGGCTCTGCCTCAAGCACAAATCCAAAACATAACACCAGTCATGCTCCATAACCAACTCCTAAGCATTTTGGTCATACGAGAAAGAGGAAGCTAGCTGCCCAGGCCTGCAGCCCAGGTGGAGAGGACGATATTGAGGGGTGGGGATGGGAAGGGGGAAAGTAACAAGGCAACAAAGGAAAGGAGCATGCACACTTGCACACACAACTTCTGCAGGAAGTTGGACACAGCCTTTAAGGCTCCATAGTAGTACCCTCCCCAGGAGCCCAGTGCCAGCACAGGAGTGGTGGTTGGATCCGTCCCATGTGCCGGGACTCTCCTGTCTTTTCCATCCCCTCAACACTGTTGAGGCAGATGTAGAGGCAGAAAAGAATGCCCTAAAACTCCCTCACTCACCTGGAGGCAGTTAATTCCCAACTTCCCTCCCTACCCCTTCAGGAATACAAAACAAAAGCAAACCATAAGACATCGAAAGCTCTATCCCCAGGCTGCAACCTTAAACCTCACCCCGGAAGATCAGAAGTGTGCATACCTTCAGCCGAGAGAACGCATTTTTGCCAAAGTCGAACGTTTGAGAGTGAGGTTCTATTCTGTAGAATTCCTATGCTCATTCTCAAACTAGGAAAGGAGCTAAGCAGATTTGCATGTAACACGTGGGCCAAAGAGCCTTGGCGATGCGGTGGTTTACAACGGAGCACCACCTCGCTCTTGGGGGACAGGGACACTGCCTTGCCTAGCCGTGATCTCATCACACCAAAGAGGCCGTGCTCCAATTTTGCACACCTGGGTCAAATAAAAGGTGCAGCAAGACCCCCGTTCCGAACAAAAGCTCTAAGGCAGATTACACACACGAGGCGTCAGACAGACCCGCCACCGTTCGCAGCTGTGAAGCCGAGGCAGATTAACAGCGGCGCTGGAACTGTTGCCCTGGACGCGTCTGCCTTCCATGGGACCCCTGTCGGTAGGTACGTCGCCCACGCGCTAGGCACGCCACATCGGCAACTTCCAAAGAAGGAATCCATCCCCGGGCTCCAAGACACCTAGCTCCCTGGCTCAGCTTTTTGACAAACAGGTGAGATAGCCAGCCACGTTTTATAGACAGGGCCCGTCTACATCACAAGTGGGCAGTATCAGCACCGCTTTCTCACGCAACAGGCAAGGTTGCAAGGGATAAAGGGGCCTTCCGCGCCGCAGCTGGGGCGCAGAAGGAACAAGAGGACTCCGGCGGTCACAGAGGCGCAGGCATAGGCTAAGAGATGCGAGTCGCGGTTAAAATCGGAAAGCGTGCACATTCAGACAGAGCCGTGCGGAAGGAAACCCTGGCTGTGAAATGAAGATGGGAGCGGGAGGCGACGTGCGGTGCAAGTGAGCAAGGGAAGCTACGAAAGGGGTTCTCCTCCCGCGGAGGAGAGCCAGACCCCCGGCAAGATCCTATCACGACCGACGCCTTTGCACGCCCCCCTCCCACGGCCATGGAAACAAGCCCCCGGGATGCGGATGCCTTCGACTCTCCCAGCGGCCGAAGAAGACGCACAACAGGAGAGGCAGGACCTGCGCAGCGTCTGGGCAGCCCCTACCCCCTCGCAAAGGCAGCTGCGCGCGAGAGGTCCGACGACATTCCGCGAAGCCACTCGGTCACGTGAGGGCTCAGATGCCCTGTCCTGAGGGGGAGATGGTCTCCTGCAGAAGGAGGTGCAGCAGGTGGTTCTGCTCCGCGGTCAGCAGCGGCCACAGCTCCACCTGCAGGGCCTTGACAGCTTCCGTGTCCTTTTCGTGGGTAGCCATGACCAAGGACTGCAACAGCAGAAAGAGCTCCTCGGGAAGGTGCCCGCCGCTGTCCTGCCCGTGGCTGTCGAAGGCCTCCCAGGAGTACTTCTCCAGGGTCTGGGCGTGCTCCGGCAGCAGCTTCGCGGGCGGCGGTTGCAGGAGCAGCAGCAGCAGCACTCGGGACACCTCGCAGCGGACCAGCACGTCGGAGAAGGCGCCCAGCGCGGCGGGAGAGGGCGCCGCAGCGCCAGCGTTCGGAGAGAGCAGCGCGGCCGGCGGCGCGAGCTGGGGCGCCGGCGGGGGCGGCGGCGGCGGCGGCGGCGGCGGGGGCAGCAGCTGGTTCGGCGGCGGCAGCAGCGGCGGCGGTAGCTGGTGCGGCGACGGCGCCGGCTGCTGCACCGGATGGCTGCCGTGCTCCCGCGCCAGGCACTGCATACGTGTAAAGAGCGCCAGGGCGCCGTTGTAGTCCCGCGCCAGCAGCTGGCAGGAGGCGGCGTCGCCGAGCGCCTGCAGCGCGGCCAGGGGCAGCTGGGGCAGCTGGAGCTGCGCGGCGCGCTGGAAGTGTCCGGCGGCGGCGGCCGGCTGGCCCAGGTCGCGCAGGGCGGCCGCCAGCTCGAGGCAGAGGGCGGCGGCGGCAGCTGGCTGTCCTAGCTCCAGGTGGAGGCGCACGGCGGCGCCCAGGGCGCTGGCGGCGGCCTGCAGCGGCTCCCCATAGGCGGCGGGGCAGCCGAGGCGCTGGCGCGCGTCGCACTCCTGCCGCAGGAAGAGGCGGGCGGCCTCGGTGAGGGCCAGCGCCTCCCCGGGCCCGTGGAAGAGCGCCTGCTGGCAGCGCGCCACAGCCAGCTGGCACCAGGCCGCGTACGGCAGGCACTCCTGGGCGCGCAGCTCGCGGCCCAGCTGCCCGAACTGCTCGCCGGCCTCGGCCACGTTGGGCTTCCGCAGGAACCGCTTCTTCAGCTTGTTCGACACCAGTCTGTAGCGGGCCAGGAAGTCGCCGGGCTCGGGCCCCGCGCCCGCGCCGCCGCCCATGCCTGCCGCGGCCGCCGCCATCTTGGCCGCCCCTGGCGCGTCCCGGCGCGCTGACGCGGCGGGCGGACCGGCCGGCACCGGCGCTGACGCGGCGGGCGGACCGGCCGGCGCCCGGGGCCCAGCCCCTTCCCCCCACGCCGCGCGCTGCCCCGGGACCTGACGGGCCGAGGCCGAAGGCGGGAGCGGGGGCGGGCCCGGCCGGGCGGGCAGCCCGCCGCGCGCACACATTCGTGAAGGGACTCGGGGCGGGGCCTGGCCCCGTTCCCGCTCCTCCGAGCGAATCGGCCGCGGGCGCGGACTGCTGCCTGCTGCCCGCTGGCTTCCTCCGTTCCCGCACAGCGCCTCACGGCGGTTTCCGCTGAGCGTGACCGGCTCTGGTCTGATAACCCCGCAACACCCTGCCTCCGAATTTCTGCTCCTGGGGCCTTTCCGCCCGCCCCTGCAGGCTCCGTCCAGGAGCAGCCTTGCCCCGACGGGAGCCCGTGCCCACCCAGGCTCCGTCCACCTCCCCAGCCCCGCAGGGTCGCCCGGGCCAGTCGTCTGCCCCGTCACGCCGCCGCGTTTCCGCCTCAGTCCAGGTCTTGAGCTGCAGCCCCACAGTCGCCACCACTCTGGGGACATAGCCAGGTAGGCCCCGATTTGGCACAGGGCCAACATGGGCATCCTATGTACCCATACTCTGGCCAGCACTTCCTACCCAGGGCCCTCTGGCCCTCCACACTCCCCTGTAACCTAGCACCCCCTTACTCTAACCACAGCCTCCTCCCACCCAGCACCCCCTGCCCTCCACTCACCCCTCCCACCCAGCACCCCCTGCCCTCCACTCACCCCCCCACCCAGCACCCCCTGCCCTCCACACACCCCTCCCACCCAGCACCCCCTTACTCTAACCACAGCCTCCTCTCACCCAGGACCCCCTTACTCCAACCACAGCCTCCTCCCACCCAGGACCCCCTTACTCTAACCACAGCCTCCTCCCACCCAGCACCCCCTTACTCTAACCACAGCCTCCTCCCACCCAGCACCCCCTGCCCTCCACACGCCCCTCCCACCCAGCACCCCCTTACTCTAACCACAGCCTCCTCCCACCCAGCACCCCCTTACTCTAACCACAGCCTCCTCCCACCCAGCACCCCCTGCCCTCCACTCACCCCTCCCACCCAGCACCCCCTTACTCTAACCACAGCCTCCTCCCACCCAGCACCCCCTTACTCTAACCACAACCTCCTCTCACCCAGCACCCCCTGCCCTCCACACGCCCCTCCCACCCAGCACCCCCTTACTCTAACCACAGCCTCCTCTCACCCAGCACCCCCTTACTCTAACCACAGCCTCCTCCCACCCAGAACCCCCTGCCCTCCACACACCCCTCCCACCCAGAACCCCCTGCCCTCCACTCACCCCTCCCACCCAGCACCCCCTTACTCTAACCACAGCCTCCTCCCACCCAGCACCCCCTGCCCTCCACACGCCCCTCCCACCCAGCACCCCCTTACTCTAACCACAGCCTCCTCCCACCCAGCACCCCCTTACTCTAACCACAGCCTCCTCCCACCCAGCACCCCCTGCCCTCCACTCACCCCTCCCACCCAGCACCCCCTTACTCTAACCACAGCCTCCTCCCACCCAGCACCCCCTTACTCTAACCACAACCTCCTCTCACCCAGCACCCCCTGCCCTCCACACGCCCCTCCCACCCAGCACCCCCTTACTCTAACCACAGCCTCCTCTCACCCAGCACCCCCTTACTCTAACCACAGCCTCCTCCCACCCAGAACCCCCTGCCCTCCACACACCCCTCCCACCCAGAACCCCCTGCCCTCCACTCACCCCTCCCACCCAGCACCCCCTTACTCTAACCACAGCCTCCTCCCACCCAGCACCCCCTTACTCTAACCACAGCCTCCTCTCACCCATCACCCCCTGCCCTCCACTCACCCCTCCCACCCAGCACCCCCTTACTCTAACCACAGCCTCCTCCCACCCAGCACCCCCTGCCTTCCACTCACCCCTCCCACCCAGCACCCCCTGCCCTCCACTCACCCCCCCCACCCAGCACCCCCTGCCCTCCACACACCCTCCCACCCAGCACCCCCTTACTCTAACCACAGCCTCCTCCCACCCAGCACCCCCTTACTCTAACCACAGCCTCCTCCCACCCAGCACCCCCTGCCCTCCACACGCCCCTCCCACCCAGCACCCCCTTACTCTAACCACAGCCTCCTCCCACCCAGCACCCCCTTACTCTAACCACAGCCTCCTCCCACCCAGCACCCCCTGCCCTCCACTCACCCCTCCCACCCAGCACCCCCTTACTCTAACCACAGCCTCCTCCCACCCAGCACCCCCTTACTCTAACCACAACCTCCTCTCACCCAGCACCCCCTGCCCTCCACACGCCCCTCCCACCCAGCACCCCCTTACTCTAACCACAGCCTCCTCTCACCCAGCACCCCCTTACTCTAACCACAGCCTCCTCCCACCCAGAACCCCCTGCCCTCCACACACCCCTCCCACCCAGAACCCCCTGCCCTCCACTCACCCCTCCCACCCAGCACCCCCTTACTCTAACCACAGCCTCCTCCCACCCAGCACCCCCTTACTCTAACCACAGCCTCCTCTCACCCATCACCCCCTGCCCTCCACTCACCCCTCCCACCCAGCACCCCCTTACTCTAACCACAGCCTCCTCCCACCCAGCACCCCCTGCCTTCCACTCACCCCTCCCACCCAGCACCCCCTGCCCTCCACTCACCCCCCCACCCAGCACCCCCTGCCCTCCACACACCCCTCCCACCCAGCACCCCCTTACTCTAACCACAGCCTCCTCCCACCCAGCACCCCCTGCCCTCCACACGCCCCTCCCACCCAGCACCCCCTGCCCTCCACACACTCCTCCCACCCAGCACCCCCTGCCCTCCACACACTCCTCCCACCCAGCACACCCTGCACACGCCCCTCCCACCCAGCACACCCTGCCCTCCACAAGCCCCTCCCACCCAGCACCCCTGTCCTTCACCACCCTTTTCGGGGACCCTGCAGACCCCCACATCCCAAAACCCTGTCCTGGTGCGAGTCCCTGCTCCTCCTGGACTTCCCGGACGCCTGTACCCTCTGACCAGCATCCCTCCCGCCCCCACGCTGGGTTGCAGCCCTGTCCCTCTGAGGACGCAGAGTAACTGAGGCAAGCTGGTGGTTTGCTTCAACAATTTAATCACAGAATGCTGTCGAGGCACCGGTCAGGGACGGCCCGCCCGGCCTGGAGCGAGGGGTGGCCCAGGGCTCTGTGCGTGGACGCTGGCGGGTCCGCCGTGGGCTGGACAGGCAAGGATATGGTGTCAGCGGCTACTCCGGGCCCCGGCCCGGGGCCACTTGCGAGATGGTCGCAGTGCCGAAGAAGCCGCTGAGCAGCCCGTGGTTGTGGACCGCCATGTCCACCAGGTGAGGCGTGATGCGCCGGCTGCCGATGTTGTGGGCCTCGTTGCCCGCCAGCTCCAGCACCTTGGCTGTCAGGAATTCGATGGTGGCAGCCAGGAACACAGATGCGGATGAGCTCAGGCGCTGAGCGTAGTGGCCCTGCCGCAGACGGCGCTCCACTTGGCTCACAGAGAAGGTCAGCTGGGCTCGGGCGGTGCGGGAGCGGGCCCGCCGTCTGCGGTGGGAGGATCCTCGACGGCTGTCACTGCTCGGCATGGAGGACCCTGGACGGCTGTCATCGCTCGGCATGGAGGACCCTCGACGGCTGTCACCCCTCGGCATGGAGGACCCTGGATGGCTGTCACTGCTCGGCATGGAGGACCCTGGACGGCTGTCATCGCTCGGCATGGAGGACCCTTGATGGCTGTCACCGCTCGGCATGGAGGACCCTCGACGGCTGTCACCCCTCGGCATGGAGGACCCTCGACGGCTGTCACCCCTCGGCATGCTGAGCGCTGGGGACTGCCTGGCTTGGCTCGCTCGGCTCGGCCTCCTCCGGCGCCACCAGCCGTTGCCTCCTGAGGCGGTCCGCGGTAGCCTAGAGACCACCGAGCGGGCACTTCCGGTGATAGTGAAGATGGCTGCCGTTTGGGCCGCGTGCCGCTGGGCCGCGCGACGCGCTGTGGGCGGTGCCAACTCACCCGCATCTCTTGGCGGCAACTGTCGCTTTCCACCACGTGCAAGCCTCCTCAGAAGGATTAAACGGGGTGGGGGGGGGGGAGGCATGAGAGCAACTCCGTGATGTCCAGAATAGCTGCAGTGCTGCGCAGCCGTCTGTTTCCAACACACTTCACTACACCTGTCCCCAAAAAGAAGCCCCTGCAGCCATGAACAAGTCACTCTCCATCTCCCCCTACTCTCCTCCTTCTTATCATCACTACTCCTCTGCCTTCTCCCTCCTCCTCCCCTTAGTCTGCCCTTGCCCCTCCTCCATCTCCTCATACGTATATATTTATATACACACATAGACAAATATATATAAATTACAAACTTTCAAAATTTTTTTAATCGAATCTTAATCACCTCCAATTCCACCCCAAATAATACCACTACTTTGATAATCCTTGAGATTTAAATCCTTTAAAGTCAGTGTTGCCCAATGGTTAAGTATAACTCGGTAAGTTTTACTGTTTTTATATGGTCTATTATTTAGACTCAATGTCAAAAGGAGATCAGTTGAGTTTCTTTGCTCACATTGTTGTGTTGCATCTTAACTTATTCTAGTGAGGGTTGTGAATGGTTAATGTCTCAGTCTTTGTTCAAGAATATCTACTTCACCCTCCCTCATGAATTACAGTTTAGTTGGGTTCGACGTGCTTACTAGTTTTCCCCTAAAATCATTAGTGATGATTCTATTATTTTTGTAGCTGATGAGATATCTGTTGTCAGTTCATTATCCCTTTGATTGTATTCTGTCTTCTTTCTAGATGATTTTGTGATCTTCCCCTTGTCTTCAGCCTGCACTTTTCTCACAATTTGTTTATGTTTACTGTGGTTGTGCCTTGGGTTTTTAGAATGTGAAGGATCGTGTCTGTTACCAAGCCTGGAAAATTTCCAAGCAATGTCCCCTTGAATGGGGATTTACCACTCTTCTCCTTACTCTCCAATCCTGTCATCCCTATCAGATGCTGTTTTGGACCCTTGCATTTTTCCTAGTATCTCTTAACTTTTTGCACATTCTCTGAATTTGCTGCCTTCTGAACAATATCCTTATCTCAATCTTCCTGGTCAGTGAAATAGATGAATTGTCTCTAAAAGCCTATTCCTTTAGTTTTTCTGTCACTGGAAATAATGTTTTTATTTTTAAAAGTCCTACTTTGGTTCTTTAAAAAAACTAGCCTCTTCTTTTCTCATAGGATCTTGACCTTCTCTCATATGTTTGGATTCCTTATTTTTTTTCTAAATATCTTTAACAAACTTATGTTACACACTCTGTTCTCTTATCTGAAATTCTTGGTGTACTATCCTGCTCATCACTGTGTTTTCTGATACTCAGTCACTCAGAAGACTATTTTTTCCTTATATGTCTTATAATTTCTCTCTTGAACTTGGAGATTTCTTTTTTTAAAAAAAGACTTTCTTTATTTGAAAGTCAGAGCTACAGAGGGAGAGATAGGAAGAGAGAGAGGGAGAAAGGGAGGGAAGGAGAGAGAGAGAGAATATCAGTCTTCCATCCTCTGATTCCCTCCCCTAGATGGCCACAATGGCCAGGGCTGATCCAGGCCTAAGCCAGGGGCCAGGAGCTTTATCTGCATCTCCCACATAGTACAGGGGCACAGGCACTTGGGCCATCCTGCGTTGCTTTCCCAGGCACATTAACAGGGAGCTAGATTGTAAGTGGAGCAGCTGGGACATGAATCAGTGTCCATATGGGACTCTGGCATCTCAGGCAGTGGTTTAACTGGCTGACTTAGGGATTTCTTGAGCACTACAACTGTAGGACTTCCAATAAGATCTGAATTTCAGGTGTGTCTCTCCAGAGAGGTTGTCTGTTTAATTCTGCCAGGAGACCTAAGGGTATATATAGCTGGCTGGTATTTTCTTTATGTTAACTTGGGAGCTTGGGGTTTTCTGGACTAAATGAGATATTAATGTCAACTCTAGGCTTGCACGACAATAGCCTTAGAATTAAAAATGACCAAGGGAAGCATTTTATTTTCCTCCACCAGAAACCCTGAAGAGAAAAATCTTCATCATCATCTCCCCATGATGGTGGGGAATTTTTTTCCCTAGTCCATACTTTCATTGACTGGGGCTGGCACTGTGACATAGTGGGTAAAGCCTCCACGTGCAGTGCAGGCATCCTATATGGTGCCATTTCAGGTCCCAGCTGCTCCACTTCTGATCCGGCTCTCTGATATGGCCTGGGAAAACAGTAGAAGATGGCCCAAGTTTTTGGGTCCCTGCACCCACATGGAAGACCTGAAAGAAGCTCCTGGCTTCTTCAAATCGGTCCAGCTCTGGCCATTGCAGCCATTTTGGAGTGAACCAGCAGGTGGAAGACCTTTCTGTCCCTCTCCCTCTCTCTGTCTATAACTAGCTCTCAAATAAATAATAAAAATAAACATTAAAAAAAAGAAATGAGGGGACTGACTGAGGGGAAAACTTCAGTGAGTAAATGATGAGATCTGCAAATAGCATGGAGACTCTGGAGGCCATTAGAGAGGGAGGAACAAATCATCCTACCTGTGGTCCAAAGTAGTGATTCAGGAGCCAGAGGATAGAGCAGAACAGCGGCAATAAATCTGCCATGATGGCCGGCACCGCGGCTCACTAGGCTAATCCTCCACCTTGCGGCGCCGGCACACCGGGTTCTAGTCCCGGTCGGGGCACTGGATTCTGTCCCGGTTGCCCCTCTTCCAGGCCAGCTCTCTGCTGTGGCCAGGGAGTGCAGTGGAGGATGGCCCAAGTGCTTGGGCCCTGCACCCCATGGGAGACCAGGATAAGTACCTGGCTCCTGGCTTCGGATCAGCGCGGTGCGCCGGTTGCAGCGCGCCGGCCGTGGCAGCCATTGGAGGGTGAACCAACGGCAAAAGGAAGACCTTTCTCTCTGTCTCTCTCTCTCACTGTCCACTCTGCCTGTCAAAAAAAAAAATCTGCCATGATGCCAAGATAATGCCAAAACTCAGTATATTGAAACATAAAGCAGAGCCATGGCAGCACAGCTTGGTTTGTGGTGAATCAAATTCAAGACTCAGTACCCCAAGAGTGGAGCACAGATCAGTTTAAGTGTAACCCTGTTGATGGCATGTTACAGTTGAAAGTTAACTGTGTGGGATGTATTTTGATACTGGACGGTGTGCAGCAGCAACTCATGTCCCTGAAGGCAGGGTTCAGTGCAATGGTAGCTCCATCCCCAAGGAGGGGATATAGTGGCATCTCTTTCTCTGAGGAAGCACGCAGTGTAAATTCTGGGTAGCTCTGTAAGAAGGACTCATGATTGATGAAGATTGAGGATGTCCTCAGTTACTAAAGCTACAGATAGGGGCCAGCACTGTGGCGTAGCGGGTAAAGCCACTTCCTGCAGTGTTGGCATCCCATATGGGCACTGATTCGAGTCCTGGCTACTCCACTTCTGATCCAGCTCTCTGCTATGGCCTATGAAACCAATGGAGGATGGCCCAAGTCCTTGGGCCCTGCACCCATGTGGGAGATCTGAAAGAAGCTCCAGGCTCCTGGCTTCGGATCAGCCCAGTTCCAGCTGTTGTGGCCATTTGAGGAGTGAACCAGTGGATGGAAGATATATATATATCTCCCTCTCTCTCTCTCAAACAAATAAATAAATCTTTAAATAAAAACAAAGATAGATTCAGTGGAGAATGATGGAAGATGTAGGAGAGAGATGAGTTTCAGGATGATATCAGCTTTATTTAGGGATAATTGACAAATAAAAGAACAGGCCAGGGCCGGCGCTGCGGCTCACTAGGCTAATCCTCTGCCTTGCGGCGCCAGCACACCGGGTTCTAGTCCCGATCAGAGCACCGGATTCTGTCCCGGTTGCCCCTCTTCCAGGCCAGCTCTCTGCTGTGGCCAGGGAGTGCAGTGGAGGATGGCCCAAGTGCTTGGGCCCTGCACCCCATGGGAGACCAGGATAAGTACCTGGCTCCTGGCTTCGGATCAGCGTGGTGTGCCAGCCGCAGTGCGCCGGCTGCGGCGGCCATTGGAGGATGAACCAACGGCAAAGGAAGACCTTTCTCTGTCTCTCTCTCTCTCACTGTCCACTCTGCCTGTCAAAATAAATAAATAAATAAATAAATAAATAAATACAGGCCATCAAAGAAGGAGGTACCTTTCTCTGAAGGGAGGAGAGAACTTCCACTTTGACTATGACCTTGTCTAAATAAGATCAGAGTTGGCGAACTCAAAAGGCTTCCATAGCCTTGGCAACTCATGACTAGAGCCTAGGGTGATTACTGACGCCATAAACAAGAGTGTCAATTGTTAAATCAACAACAGGAGTCACTGTGCACTTACTCCCCATGTAGGATCTCTGTCCTTAATGTGTTGTACAATGTAAATTAATGCTATAACTAGTACTCAAACAGTACTTTACACTTTGTGTTTCTTTGTGGGTGTAGTCTGTTGAAATTTTTACTTAATAAATACTAAATAGATCTTCTGTATATAAAGATAATTGAAAATGAATCTTGATGTGAATGGAATGGGAGAGGGAGCAGGAGATGGGAGGGTTGCGGATGGGAGGGAAGTTATGGTGGGGGGGAAGCCATTGTAATCCATAAACTGTACTTTGGAAATTTATATTCATTAAATAAAAGTTAAGAAAAGTAAAATGTAAACAATCCTAGTGTTGAAAGGGACCCTACTAATAAGCTGATTAAATCTTTATAAAGAGTATATATTCAAAATACATAATTGATTTTTTGATATACATATGCACTGATATGATTACCAAAATAAAAGTAATTAATATATCCATAACGTCACATATTTTCTCTTTTTAAATTCTTTTTTTATTTTTTAATTTTTTAAGATGAAAATTTCATATATATCATATATACAGATTTAGAATGATAGCGTAACTTCCCACCCTACCCTCCCTAATATACCTACACTCTCATGCT